ACATGGTTTTTGGGAGGGGGGAAAGGAAGACGCGTAATTAAACTTTCTTAATGATACATTTTAGGGCGGTTTATATGTCTTTTGGAGGATTGCTGATGGCATTGGAAGGAGATTTTCGTCATGTGCAAAATATTCACGTTGGACAAAACGTTTATATGTTAATGAAACGTCAATATTAGAAAGATCAAAACTATTTTTAAATAAATTTAAGTCTGATATAATATAATTCTTTTAATTAACGTATTAAATAATTTAATGTTGAGATTGAAAAATTAAAAACATAAGAGAGAGACTTTTGTAATTCGGAATTAAACAAGTCCTCGTTTAAATAATGGTACCAGAAATATATGTATTTATGGATGATAAAATAAAAAATAAATAATGTTATAACAACATAATAAATAATTATCTATTCATATCTAGAGTGTCCAAATTTCTCTAAATAAATCTCCAACCTTTCATCAAGTTTAGGAACATTATTTTGTTCTAAATCATTCCTTGAATCTTTGTCAAAATAAGATCTTTTTATATGCTCAATAGGATAATAACCAATCAATTGATTTATATAACCCCACGGTCTATATTTACCATGACCAACGAATGGGAAATATACACTACCAATTAATACACCTAATAATGTAAAACAATTGCTTAATATTGACCAGATTGTTACTATCTGTACATCTTGTGTTTGAACTACATCAAATGAAACTATGATTAAAAGATTAGAATTAGTATTATTATCAGAATTAAAAGAAAAAATGAAGTAAATGGAATTACAATTGCCTACCCGCACGAAAAGTGAATCGATTAATAGATCTACCAGGGGATGAATCTGTGGGAGCTCTATATTCATCGACAATATTATATTTAACATCGGTTCTCTTAACATTTCCTTTTAAGTCACGATTTACGGTCCTTGTAAATTGTATAGCTCTATTAACTTCAGGTGCCAATAACAAAAATCTGTTAAAGTCGAATGAACTATTACTTTGTAAAGGATCAAATATATTAACTAATAATGGAGCTTGAGAATTTTCTATATCATCCGGAGGAAATGTCCTTTCGGTTATAAATTCCAAATCAGGTACATTTGAAGTTGGTGGATGAAATTTAATGATAGCTCTATCATCATTCGTGGGTGGACTTAGTACCCAACAACGTGATACTTGGTTTCTAATAAATTTTAATTCGTCTTCCTCCGGGGCATATGGTTTTAAATATAAACCTCTGTTAACCGATACATTATATAGTCTTATATCAAAATCATAATCCACTGGTTTTGTTGTACAAAATGTTAACGCAGGTGGAACCAATTTATCTACAGTTATTACTTGAATTTTTTGTGTTATATCGTTATAACCTTGATAAGATTTAAACAAATTAAATGCAAATATTCCTATTAAGATGAATATTAATAATGAATGTAGTATACGAGCGAGATACATTTGGAACATTTTTTCCTTTTTTTTTGTTTTTTTCAAAAAAAAAAAAAATTTATAAAATTTTTGAGAGAATGTAACTATTTATTTATTTCATTTATCATCAACAAATCTGCATAATTTTACATTTATAGGTTTATTTTTGGGACGATTTTACTAAATCCTGTTTGTTTTGAATTGTGATAATTGTGAAACTTGTGAAACAAAAATATTTATATCGGAGTTATTATAACATGACAAATTAAATTTTATATTACGTAAATAAATCGGCATGAAATGTTTTATTTAATTTGAAATTACTATACAATATTACAATAATAATTGTTATCTCTATTTGGATTTTGGCTTTGAGGCTCTTTTATCTCCTTTTTTCTTTGAATTACCACCATCCGACGATGAATCACTACCTGAATAGTTTTCATCGTACTCTTCTGCCACATCACTATCTTCACTACTGGCAATAAAATCTTCATCCACTATTAACGGAAAATAGTTGTTACATAAAAATTTAATAAACCATTATATATTACTAATAATAACTCACTTTCTGAATCTTCGTCTTCCGGATCAACCGATTCGCTCTTGCGTCGTTTAGCAGTAGGCATAACTTCATCATCATCATCAAGCTCTTTCATAAACTCAGAATATGATAACGCAGTCTTAAAATAATAATAATCATTAATTAAAATCAACCATTTGTTTTTTTAAAAAAAAAAAAAATAAATACATCAAAATTTAACTTTAAAACCATTACATACTTCGTCCGCTGTGTCTTTGATAGTTTTTATATTTTTAGATCTCAAGTATACTTCTAAATCTTCATATTCTTCTCTAATAGGTAAATGTTAAGTAACGATTAATTTTGTATATTAGCGTAACATATAATAATGATTTCATTTATAGAAATACCGATTAAGACTAGAGAACCCAAATTCTACACCACTTTTCATATTGAATTTCATATCAAACGTTCTGGGTCCTCCTAGATCAGACTTTTTTGTTAGATTCGCAGATACTCTAAAGTGTAAATGGCAAAAAGTTGTCAACATTTATCTCACAAGTTACATCATTATGATTAATGTCAATATATTTTCGATTTAAATAAATAAAACCATACCTAGAGAACGTGACGCTCATAATCTCCGAAAAGGGGAGATATGTCGGGGGTTTTGGAACAAATAAGAAGCACTTTTCAAGCGGATAAAGGTAACCTTCATTCGCTTTCAAAGAAGCTTTTACGGCCACTTCGTCATGTTTACTATAAAAGAAGGTTATAGATAATGTTAATAAAGTTATAAATATTTTCTTTTTTAAAAAAATAAAGAAATGAAAAAGAAAAAGAAAAGAGGGAGACTAACTTTCTGTATGTTGAAGGTCTGTTTATCTTCTTTTTAGTGAGTCCTTGAAAAACCAAACTTACTGCTTCATGAATAGGACATTCATATTTGGGTAATAATCTTTCTCCATAATCTCGTTTTAAATCATCCCTATATTTAGAAAAAATTTTTTTATTTAGTTTGAATTCTGTCATAAGATAAAAATCCGTGAATAATAACAAAACAATCACTCTTCAATATTTAAGGTCAAATCAATTTCATCATCTTGCTTAAACTGCAAAACTAGAAAGTGGTAAAGTGTTTGACCCTGTCTCAATGGTGGATCAAGTCCAATCTGAAAAAAATGAAAATTATCTTTAGACAATCTCTTTTTAAAAAATATGTTTAAGGAAAGGAAACCTACAACAAATAGTTCGTGGACCTCGTCTAGTTTTGGCAATAAAAACAAGTTTACAACACTTTTCATTTGTATTTTATAATCATATGTTTTTCCCCGTAACCGGAAAAAAGTTGGAAACACCTCTATATCGTATCGACCACTTTATTATTTAATAAAATAAAATAGTAAGTATCGCAATATTATAAAATGTAGTGATATTGCAAGATTATGGAATAATCAAATTTCTTACCGAGGTGTAAGGAGAAGAATATCTTGGAATAATGCAAGCCCTTCTCCAGAAGCTTGCCCAAGGTCTGCTTTATCCTTGACAGTTTCATAGAATAGCTATAAAAGTTGACTTCATATTTAGTAACAAAGATATTAAACGTTAATGATACTTTTCTAATACTAACAGAAGCAGCACTCATTTCCTCTCCATCCTCAAGATCTTCTTCTTCTTCTTCTTCTTCTCCTTTTTTTTCTTCTTCTTTTTCGTTTTCATCCTTGATGATCGTAGTTCCAGGTATATAGAATCTCATTTCTACTAATTCATGCATTGGAGCTTTTTTACTTTTACTCTGTGACTCCCCTGACTGATCTGGTTGCATGAATTCAACATTGACTTCATTTCTATTGGCAAGATTACTGTTTGCAACTTGAATTAAAGGAATCTCAAATGCTGTTTTACTACCAATGTTAAAAAGGAGCTGTGATCCTGTTTTAAAGTTTCAATAAATGTTATTAAATAATGACAAACCATTTTAACTTATAATAAATAAAAATTACCTTGAAATTCGGTTTTACCCCAATTCCAACCTTTAACACTGAGTTCCTTTGTCTCGAGCTGTAATTTATAATTAGCTCGAACAAGTTCTCTTACAGCATCAAACATCTACATGTAACAATCAAATAAATACCCAAATTAAAACGTTTAAAGAATTAACACAACTAAGAATTTTACACACGTCTTTATTAAATCCATCAAATCTAGCTGCGTTTCCATTTTTTAATGCAATGCGTAGTTGATAATTTCGAGCGACACGCATCCATTGCATTTTTTTGAACTCTTCTGCAGAAATCGTTACGATGTTTTCTGCATCAGAAGTCTTCCAGCCAAGTCCACTTGGAGCAAGCTTAAGAATGCCTGGAATATTAGAAAGACCATAGTATATATTTTCAAATTGCTTAGACCTTGGTTCTCCCATTATGTTGATAACTTATTTTCGGAGGAAGAGCTAGAAAAAGAGACGAGAAAAACGCGTATTTATTGATACCATAATAGGTAAACTTATCAATGGACGTTCGGAATTCTGCGGAAAAACTTATGATTGAATTACAAATGCGTAGCAAATTAAATCATTTTATTACGGGGCCCATTATAGGTAATTTAATTAATTTTCTAACCCGTGATACAATAAATTCCTTATTTTTTTTTCTCTTTTTTTTTTTTTTTTTTTTTTACAAAGTAGCAATGCTACATTCAAAATTTTAAATACAATATTTTAATTTCAAATTTGTTCAAAGCATATAATTATTTTTTTTGTTCTGATGATGGATTCTTTTATAATTATTACAAATAATGCACATTATTCTGTAATTGAATATCTATCGCTTTTTAGGTGGCTTCGGTTTAACATCTTCATCTTTCACGGCGTGCAAGTAAACGGCTGTTCTTTGTGGTTGTGATATAAGGCCCTAAATTCGATTTGATTATATGTGGCGTGAATTATATAAATATATTATGTGATTTTTTTTTTATCTAAGGTTATGAATGATTCAACTTACTTTATTCCAATCGTAACTTAAAGCGTAAGCAAAAATAGAACCGTTACGGTTGAAAGCAGTAGAAGTAATGGGACCTCCAATCGAACTGAATCCTTTAAGACGTTGTTTAGAATCTTTATCCCAGAAATTAAAAGTACCATCACTTCCTGCAGTTGAAAATGTGCCATATATAGGATGAAAAGAAATAGCGTTGACCGCATGTACATGATTTTGTTCTCGATGACATTTAAAAGAAAAACTAGACCTGCAAATTTTTTTTAAATAAGTAAGCATTATGACAATATTAATTAGGTCAACTTAATAACATTTCATATAAATCATTCAGCTTACTGATTATCTTTTTCTTCAAAATATTGTATCCCAACACGTCCTTCAATACTTCCTATAGCATATCCAGTGCGATTTAAAAAGGTTGAAATACATCGAGTTTGCCATTTCAAGGGACTTACAATGCTCTTTATAGAAATTGAATACATTAGTAAATCATAAAAAATTGGTAAATGAAAATAAATTACAAAAAAAAAAAATTATGAAATAAGAATGGTTTACCAATTATCATACCTTGACTGGGGTACTTGGATTTTTACTAAGATCAAACATTTGGACGTGCCTTTCAGCGCATCCTACAACTAATACAGGATAGGTAACGTCCAAAGCATAGCATCGCTCCGGAAGATTAACAGTAAGTACAGGTGTTGAAGAGCGCATGTCCCAATACTATTTTATAAATATATATTTATCTGGTAAATTTTAACAATAATGATCAAACAAAAAAATGTAAATTATAATTTTCGAACCTTAAGTGTCTTATCCCAACTTCCAGTTAACACAAGATTATGATTTTCGATATATTTAATGCATTTAATAGGCTGATCATGTATAGCTATTTGGCCTACTTGCTGAGAAGTAATATCAAAACACCTTCCTGCATTATCTGCACCACCTGAAATAACCTTAGTTCCATCCTATTATTAAAAAAAATTAATCAACAGATGTATATGATATTAACATTATAAATTGTACCCAATTTTAAATTTTCTTTAAAAATTTTAATTTTTGCCCAATACTCTCTAGCAAGAACGGTACTCACACGTGAAAAAGAAAAGAATTACATACTTTACTCCATGCGCAGCATAATGCGGGTTTCTCATGATTATAAAGAGCTTTGCCAACGGCTGCTCCAGTAGCTGAATTGGCTTCATAGATCCTAACCTATTAATTATCAACTTTAATAATAGTATATTATTAATCTATAAATTTACATAGTTTTATAAAGCACTTACATAAGTATCCCACGAAGATACTGCAAAAAACTCTGCTACTGGTGAAAATGAAACTTCTGAAACAGAATCATTTGGACCGTGTGGAACCTTTTAAAATGTGTGTTTTTTTAAAATCGTTATAAATAAAATAATTTGGTCAAATATTATGTCAGAAATGATAAAGTACCTCATAATCCTTGGGCGCTTCATTTGAAGTGCCTGTACTTGGTCTACCACCATATGTTGTCATTTTGAGAATCGCGATTCAAAATTCAAAAAATTAACGTAAATTGAACCATCTTCCCTTACATAATCAATGCTGATCATTTGGTCATAATCCTATAATGCTGGCAGAAGTGATCGGCAAGATTTCGCATATAAAAAACATTTTATATTATTAATTGAAAACTTGAGTTTAAGTAAATAGGGTTTATTAAAAGAAAAAATTAATAATATAATTTATTCAATAATTAAATATATTTTTTGATTTTTTTTTTAATTAATTTAAATAAAATCAATTTTAAAAAGTTTAAAATAAAGTCTTACTAATTATTAAAATATCAATTATATAATTCAAAAGAGCCAATTATGACTAAATAATATAATTATATTATTTAGTCATAATTGGCTTAGATTAGATTATTTAGTAATAAAATAATCTAAATATAACTAAATAACCTAAGTATACCTAAATAATTTAAATATAACTAAATAATCTAGATATAACTAAATTATGTAAATATAACTAAACAATCTAAAATTAATAACCTATATATGATTAAATAATCTAATTAAATAACTTAAATATACTAATTTTTTATATTTTTTTATTTTTCTACTAT